TAACTCGGGCCCCATTCGAATCTCTGGAGGATATTCCTATTAAGCTCATATCACTGAAGACGGCCTTACTACTCGCTCTAGTCTCAGCTAAGCGAGTGAGCGAGCTGCATGCTTTGTCGGTGCATCAAGTGTGCATGGACTTTATCCGGGATGATGACAGGGTTACACTGCTACCAAACCCGGCATTCGTTCCCAAGGTCAGTGATTCGGCTTATAACTGTTCTGCTATTGAGTTGCATGCCTTTCATCCCCCTCCGCATTTGTCAGCGGAGGAGAGAAAGTTACACACTTTGTGTCCCTTACGGGCGTTACGCCTCTACGTGAACAGGACTCGATCGTTTAGGAGAAGCGATCAGTTATTTGTGTCATGGGTCACTCGCCGTAAGGGTGAGGCTGTTTCATCTCAACGGCTCTCGCACTGGATAGTGGAGGCGATCGAACTGGCCTATACATCTAGGGGTCTTCGTTCCCCAGAGGGTTTAAGAGCTCATTCTTCAAGAGGTATCGGTACCTCATGGGCTTTGTTCAGAGGGATTTCGGTAAGAGATATTTGTAAAGCGGCAAGTTGGTCTTCCACGCATACATTTCTCAGGTTTTACCGCCTTGACGTCACCGCGCCTTCATTGGCTCACGCGATTCTTAATGTGTGTCCCTTATAAGCTTGAAAGGTTGTCTTTCTACCGATTCTGTCCGGGGGCTTCGGAAAGCATGCGTTACGGGAGTGGTATATATCATTCCCATAGTGAGACACCGAGCGAATGTTTGAAAGAGAACGCTAGGTTACTTGCGTAACCCCGGTTCTCTGAGAACAGAGCGAGGTATCTCACCAGACTTCCCTTCATGCATTACACTCAAGAAGAGCATGCTTCGAATGCCGATTCGGGGAATCACAGCGGATTATAAAGTAGAGGGTGGGCTCCTAATCGCGAGCTGTGATTTGTCCGTCCTCAGACGGACGTGGTGTAATTGGTGCTTCCACAGTCTGTCACGCCTGAGGCGTTTCCCATAGTGAGATACCTCGCTCTGTTCTCAGAGAACCGGGGTTACGCAAGTAACCTAGCGTTTTATATTCACACATTCATTCAGTGACAACTTGTGACACACTCCCTATATTGTTTACCACGGCACTTTGAATATTCGGTCTGAAATAACCTGCAAATGTGACTTGAAAACAACATTAACACTGTTTATTTGACTGTGAACAATGTTGTACATTGATAGTCATTGGCTGCTAATATGATTTCGCTATTTAGAGTTTGCAAATAATGCTTTTATGAAATTATATTATTAAGGAGAAAGTCCGAATGTGTGAACATAAAACCAACCTCTATGTGTAAGTTCACATACCCTGCTGTACAGGTGCAGTTCACTGTCAGAATGCAGTTGTTTTGCTTGTTGATGATTGCTAATCCTTGTACAGCTCCGTCTGCTCTCTTTGTCTTTGGCTAGGCAGAATATTGGTTTTTAGCTTTACATAGTGTTAAATCTGGTCATCATGGATCATTATTTCTTGCACATGACTACACAGAACAACATTGTAGGCATCCATAGACTTGCAGACCTTTAATTTCTCTCTTGTAAAATCATTTGGAGTTTTAATGAGATTGTATTTTGGGGCTGGATGCTTGGTCATTTTGTCTTATTCAATATCCATTGGGAGAGTGCTATTGCAAATGGACCTGTCAGATGAACGCCACTCAATATAACGTTAATTATGCTGAATTACTGTGCTTATCACTGGGTGACAAGCTGTTGTATTACGATGAAAGCGTTATGTAAATAATAAATATAATATGTAATCAATATAACTTATTTCTAAGACAACAACAAACTCTGTACAGCATGTCATTCTCTTGCTGTAAATGCTAGCGCTCTCAGATTCTTCCATAGGCTTTTCGAAGATTGCAAATAATAAGCTCTGTGTTCAAACACTGTTCATAACACTTACACATTTAATCCTCTCACGAAAATACAACTTTGAGCACTTTTGGATCTTAAATGCAAACGCAAGAACTGAAAATCTAACATTAGGCTATAAACGGACTACAGTGCCCTTGGGGCGCTCGCATGTGGCGTCAGCACCACACTCCTACAGATAACTTTTGATGCTTATGTTTAGAATAAATGTCGATGACAAAGAGTTAATCTCTCAGTTTATTATATTATAATGCACACTATATATTGTAAACAAATAAATACGCAAAAACACATAGACCTACAATCTTTTTTAATTGTTTTTACGTAGGAAATACAGCTGTTTTGCTTTGCTGTTGTTCTAATGTATAAATATGCCTACACATAGTATTATCACAAGACATTTCAATAAGTGTATCGCTCGCGTGCATACAACCAGCTTACCTTAACAGATGACAGGAATGTGTGAGGAACAAGTCTTTTAAATGCCTCCAAGTTCCATCATGGACACAGAACATTCAAAACTTGTTTTTTGTCACAAAGTTCAGCAAAAAGCTGCCCATACAGTCACATATGCTATACCTTTTAAGGAGGAGTGTAAATATTGCAGTTATGACAGAATTAAATGTGTTTAGATGAAGAAAAATACGACGGAAACTCACTTGATCACGTTAAAATGACAGTTAATATGCATGTATTTTTACACATTTCTTCACACGTTTGCATTACTGAAAGAAGGAAAGAGACAGGCTGCACTGTTAAGCAGTATCTTCATAATATCGTTAAATTTAATGATCAACAAATTAGTCTGTCTCGACAGCCTTTACAAGTGAAGGCATTGTCTACAAACAATATGAATTCCCAATTAGAAAAACAGAACAAACTTTAAAATAAAATTCATGACAAATACACAGACAAATCCAAATGCCCAACACAAGCGAGCTACGCTCCAGACCAGATCAGCTCGATGACGTATAATGCCTCCGACACCACCTGTAGTCCTATTTAGCAACTTGATATCAACCGTCATTTTAAAGAAGCATAACCGATTTAAAAAATGAAGAGTGTGTTGTAACTGCTGTGTTTCATGTCGTAGAACAAAACGTGAAAGTATATTGAGTTTGTGTTAGCCACGAACCTTAAGCGATTTTACTGAAACTCCATTCAAAAAACCCATTGACTTTGGGATGAGGGAATCGGAACTGCTAAAATGGTAACTCGCTTCCGGGTTTTTGCATACAAATTGTCGTCATAGTTCCTCCACTCTATAACTTACGTTTCAAAGTGTCCACGTTCCATTTTTCCTCCATATTATGACGTATCCTCTTCTCCTGCTTCTTCTCCATGCCGATTGCTTTCCCATGGCCTCCTGGGATATATAAGTAACCATATGAGAACACGGCATCCGGGCATTTCTCGCCTACACTTTTTATGATTACTCAAGTTTCAAACGTACTTCTTTCTTCACGTACTGTATTCTCCCTTTATGTTGTAGGTGAGTATGCACATATCTAGGCAAATTGATTATACATACAGCCAAATCTCAGGAGGATTAAAGTAATTTTCGCCTACTCTTTTTTGAACATTGGAAATTTAAACATAGCCTACTCTTTTTCCATACCCAACAGAAGAGAAGTACTTGGTTTGAAACACAGTCTATGTTTATGTTAGTGTTTCTGCTTTATCCAGTTTGCATTTATTCTGAGAGGGGTCTGGATGCAGACCTGGGGTCCGTTCTTCGTACTTCGCTTAAATGATCTAAGATGATTTGGCAGATCCTGGATCTTTTAATCTTGATAACTGATCTCTCGCTAATTTGGTTCTTCAAACAAGTTCACGAATCAGATTAGAATGTCTGGATAAACTGATCTGAGATCGCTGCGTGTGTTATGAAGGACAGATCTATCGATCCTCGAAATCATGATCAGCAATGCAACGATTGGCTGACGGCATAGCAGCGTAATGACATCATCTGATTAATATTCAATTATCCATGTGAGCAAAATTACATCAAATTAGCAGTAAATGGTTTGTTAAATATGACACGCAAGAACTTTCCACATTTGTTGTGAGCTGCAGGCTTTACACTTTCATTTGTCAAGACAAGAGTATTCATCATGTATTTCAATGCAAATCAATGCATTTAGTTCTACATTTAGAAAAGATTTTCTTTATTAATGTAGCCGTTTTTTAATCGGTGTATAAAGAATAACTGGTTGTTTACAAAAGCATTTTGATATTGGTAAAGGTGTCTGCAACTTTTGTGAAGCATCAAATCACTGGCATATTAACTATCAAAACATGTTTATGACTGCATAAATGTATTATTGCTTAAAAAAAAAATCACATATTGTGCATTTCTATTATACACAATTTGTTCTAAAGCGATCTAAAAAGTTCATTTCAATAAGTTTTCTCTTTGCACCAGATGGCAGTCTTTGTACTTTCATTTCGAGGGTGCAGATTGCATACGTTTTATTAATATGTATAACTTTATTTATTTTATTAATGACTATAACTTTATATATATATTTAAAAATTATGTATTATTTTCCCAAGTGTATATAACTACTACTGTAAGAAAATATCAGAATTCGGTAAATACTTTCTGTATTATCTTTTGAACTAAGCCGATCTAATCCTGTTTATATGAATTAAACCTGCTCCCGATCAGGTTTGACCTAGCAGAACTGTTGCCATGACAACAACTCTCGGATCAGCTTTGAAGAACGAAACGATCCTGGATCGTGTCAAATCGTCAATATCCAAATCCAGCTAACTGAGTAATCCACGTACGAAGAACGGACCCCTGGAGCAGTGCAATCTGAGATGCCTCCATTGCTTTTTAATGCACTTACCTAACCCGACCATACCCGTCACAGTGACATCACTCACTCTATTGAGTGCATTGTGTCTGAGATTGCATTGCTGAGTGATGCAATCTCAGCTTGCATCATAAATGCTGCATCCAGATACTTTCGCTTATTTCTGCCACTAATTTTCTTCACCTGTGTTGATTCCTAGTTCAATTTGTATCACCTGTAGTTAATCAGTGAGTGTATTTGAGTTCCTCAGCACTCTTTAGCTTTTATTTGACTTGTCTTTACTTAAGGTTTCTCTAATTATTTAGAATCGCAGTGTTTGTATCTGTGAATTTATAATTTATTCCATGTTTATAGTTCTTTTTTTATAGTGTTTGTGCATTATTTGTGGATGCAGGGCTGATTGAGAAACTTCACAAACTCCTCTGGAACTTCATTGGAGACCTCTGTCTGAACATCAAAGTAATTTTTAGGCACCAAGAGCTTCTGAACCACTTTTTATATACAAAATATTTTCCTCTGCACCTTAATTCAGACGCTGAACTTTTCTGTTTTATTTTCAGGTTCATGATGGTGATGCTGAGAAGTCTTCTGCTGCTTTCCTTGTTTTCCATGGGGAATGCAGCAGGTAATCAACATTTCGTATTATTATTTATCGAGAGAGAGATTTTTTTTTTTCAAGATTATACTTTTTTTGTAGTTGTATGGGAAAAGTAATAGATGTACTTACCATGATCATACAAAAATATAAATAAAAAAAGTTAATTAACTTTGGGAATCACAATAACCATGTATTTATACTGTAAATGCAAAGCTAGGAGATGCACACGTCAATGGAGTAGGTTTGGATCTCGATGCTTTAGATATTTCTCTGTACCAGTGAACTGGGTCACAGCAGAGGTAATTTTTGATACAACACTAATTTTAAGTAATTTATGATCTTAGCAAAGTATGTAAATATGTTTGCATTGACTATAAAAACAAAATGTCTATCTTCAGAGAAACTGTCAACTTCTTGGTGGGAATCTTGTTTCTGTGCAAAATGGTATGGAAAATGATTTTCTGCTGAGTCTTATACCCAACTCCGAACGTTTCTTTATTGGTGGCTATGATGGTGAAGATGTAAGACTTAATTAACTTTTGTTATATTGGAGTAAACAATTGTCGGTTAAGTTTCCAATGTTGTCTACATACAAGAGCTCTAAACCTCTCCACTCATTAGGAAGAAAACTGGTTTTGGTCTGAAGGATCTTCATTTGGTTATACCAACTGGTGCTCAGGAGAGCCTAACAACATGAATACGGAGCACTGCTTGGAGATCAACTGGACATGTAAGACTGCTTAATTTAATTGTGTATAATTGTCAAAAATATAAAGTTTCTGCAAAGCATTTAGTCCAACTTACTTTACTAATATTATTATTATTATTATTATTATTATTATTATTATTATTATTTATTAGATTTTATTTTTTCTTCTAGCGGATCGTTGTTGGAATAACTTGCCTTGTTCAACTGAACAAGGCTATATATGTGCCAAAAACCTGGATGGGTGCTCTTAATTTAAGTGTTCATCTTGTTCAATCACAAGGCTAAATATGCCAATTAAGATACTCTTCTCATCACCTGCTTAAATCAATAAATCAAAGCAAATCATCTGTGTCAAATGGTCTTCATGGTTACTGTGGGCATGCTTTCAATGGATTACAGTTAAACTTCATCAAAGGTGCTCACAACGGTGCTGTTACCTCAAGTGACACTGATGAAAATCTGTCCCAAATTTTAAGTTGTACTTTTACATTTGGTTGAAAAATCACTACAACGATATTTTCAACTCCTGTTTGGGTAACCCAGTATTAAGTGTCTAAAATAAAAGGATCTGACAAATTTTAATAAACCCTTTGATCTTGCTCTTTTAATTTTGTACATAATCTGCCAGGTGTTATTTTAATATTAAAATTATAGAATTGAAAAGATTTTGTTCATAGCAAAGGTGTCAAACAGCTGCCGTTTAAGTACTGCACTTTTGGCTTAAACTGTTGCACATTTGCTCATCCAGGACTGAGAATAAGCCGCTATGTCAAGCCTAATGTGGATAGTCCGGATTAGTGTCCATTTTTGGCATTTGTTAAATGACCATGGGGTCGTTATGGGTATGACATCGAAATTAAATCATGATGAGATTCTTTTTAAGGTTTAAAGTTGTCTTGCGAGTTGTGATGTTACGATGGAGCGTAAGGGTAAAATTAGCATTTAAGATTGGAGGCAGGGTTGGAGTTGAACTGCAAATTTGCACACACCTGGCAATCCAGCCTGGCCCTATTTACTATTCAACTAGGCTATCAGCAAAATATTTTGCATTGTTTGTGTGTCCTTTACTTCATAAAAATACATTAAAATAACATTCATTACTAGTTGATTTTACAAATAAACCTAATTAGTTTTGCATTTTTTTTTTCCATAGAGTTTATATTATCTTTCTGTACCTAAAGATTTTAGGTGAACAATGTCTTATTTCAATGAATATAACAGTTAAAAAAACGTTTTGTTTAAGTGCACCAAAAGTTGTCTATATTCACTGGGAAATAGATAAAAATACATTTTTTAAAGGGAGATGTATTAATTTGTGCTAAGCGCTGTATATGTATTTTTCCCTCAAATCCTTCATCTATTTTTTATTAGAACCCCTGTTTATTTTTCCCCTATTTCTGTTCAACAGAGAGTAAATTTCTTCAACACATTTCTAAACATAATAGTTTTTATAACTCATCTCTAATAAATGATTTGTTTTATCTTTGCCATGATGACAGTAAATAATATTTTACTGAATATTTTTCAAGACACTTCTATGCAGCTTAAAGTGACATTTAAAGGCTTAACTAGGTTAATTAGGTTAACTAGACAGGTAAGGGTAATTAGGCAAGTTATTGTATAATGATGGTTTGTTCTGTAGACTATTGAAAAAAAAAAGTTAGCTTAAAGGGGCTGATAATTTTGTCCTTAAAATGGTGTTTAAAAAATTCATAACTGCTTTTATTTTAGCCGAAATAAAACAAATAAGACTTTCTCCAGAAGAATAAACATTATCAGACATGCTGTGAAAATGTCCTTGCTCTGTTAAATATAATATGGGAAATATTAAAAAAGCAACAAAAAATCAAAGGGGGGGGGGGTAATAATTCTGACTTCAACTGTGTGTGTGTGTGTGTGTATATATATATATATATATATACACACATAATTTTTTTTTCTAGTTGTTGGAAAATATATGTAAATAACCAAGAGCATGGAGTGACTAATTTCTAGCATTGACAACGAAACTAACATATAGATCACTAGGATTAATCTTAGCTACAAAGAACAAATATCCATGCATAGTAACCTCATGCATAGCTCATAGCTTAATTTGGTCTGCTTTTGTGCAACTGAAGCTGCGGTCACACTGCACTTTTCCCCTCATAGACTTCAATTTGTACGCAAGCGAATGCGTCAGACTGAAAATACAAGCTCATTCAACAAGTTTCACAGTTCACTGAAATTACAAAGTTTAAGCTTGGTGAATCCTGACCTGCGAACAGTGGTGTGAAGTAACAAATTACAAATAGGCAAATTACTGTAATTGAGTAGTTTTTCTCTGAAATTGTAATTCAGTAATTCAAAAGTAGTTTTATAAATGTGTACTTTTATTTTCCCTTGAGTACATTTTTAGTGCAGTATCTGTACTTTTACTTCACTACTTTCCTTCAACCTGCAGTCACTACTTTATTTCTTTATGTCTATGGTGATTGTAAAAATCAGTCTTGTAATTCCTGTCCAATCAAATCACACATAGAAGGTAAACCGCATCATTATGAACTACCTCAAGACTTAGACGACTTTACAATTGCAGCAAACTGTTTGGAAGCATTAAAAGTGTCTAATAAGATATCCAAAATCTTTACACAATGATCCAGAGACTGTTTAGATCACTTATGAGAAGATGATAGATGTTTGCTGTATGATGACTGAAATTACCTTAAACAACCAGCAGGCACAAGACATCAACACAATGTCAGATTGATGTTGTACCCCAATGTCGTGGGGACGTTGCATTTTTGGAATTGCAAATGAAAATCTGATTGACATCAGAACCCAACATCAGTGTGACATCAATGTCCAATGTCCAACATAAAATCAACCAAATATCCATGTCCAATGTTTACAGCTTGCTGTTGTGTGGACGTTACCACCATGACATCTATCAGAAGTTGGATTTTGGTTGCCATACATGATGAATAAATGTCAGTATTTGACATCAATATGACGTTGGTTTAAGATGTTGACTCAACATTGAATTTTGGTCACATTCTAACACAACCTAAAATCAACCAAATATCAATGTCTTTTGATGCCATTATTGAACATCAAAATAACATTGTCCTTAGACACTGGCTAGACATGAATTTTGGGCACCTGACGTTACAATCTAAATCTAACCTAACATTAATGTCTTATAATGCTGTGTGCCTGCTGGCCAATAACTAAATGCACTACAGAATATGTTTACACACACATGGACAAATTACATGTTAATGCATCAGCTTTTCACAGTGTAATACTCAATAATCTTGAGTGCTTTTAAAAGGTTTACTTTTACTTACATTTTGAGTAATATTTACAACAGATACTTTTACTCTACTTGCACTACATTTTTAGACAAGTAATGGTACTTGAATATAATTTTTCACTACTCTTCACCACTGGCTGCGGAAATACATCACTTAACTTAGGGAGACCGATCACTTGCTTTTTTTAAACGTCTAATCATTCTGTTTAATCCTGCCCTCTTTGCAGCGCCGTACTACAGAAATTTCACAAGCTCAAACTCTAGTGTGACCGCAGCTTTAGTTGAGGCTAGATTCAGCCAGGATAGCCTCAAAATCCCAGCTTGTGCTGCGGTAACACTAGAGTTTGAGCATGCGAATTTCTGTTGTACATCGCTGCAATAAGAAACTTGCCATTTTGCCATTTTTATTCCGTGTGTGTGTGTGTGTGTGTGTGTGTGTGTGTGTGTGTGTGTGTGTGTTTTTTTGTTTTTGTCCCTTCAAACAGTCGTTGTCAATAAAAATATAGGCTAAAGAATTAAGATAAAGTGTCTGGTTTTTAAATTGAGCAGCAGTGTCACAACACTCAACACACAACACAAAGCCCAGAAATGCAGTGACAATCTTATATATGAAGCAGGTAATGGACAGTAGGTGAATCAAGGGCAAGAGTTGTGGTTCAATCAAACCATGGATAGCAAATCAAAGATGTAAAATAACATAGAAAAAATCTTACATTGTGCATGTGGTTCAGCAATGAATCAGAGTGCAAGAACAAAAAAAGAAATGTACTCAAACAAAAGGTCAAAAAAGGAACAAAGAAGCTGGCTCTGATTGGTTTATTCTCAAAACACACCTATAACTCATTAAGAAAATATGCTCAACCCTTTTAGACCATGCGCCATGGCGCAACGTGGATGTTACCGTCCTTAAAATAGCAAAAACGTATTCCGACACCCCCTTATTGCTTTTTCGCTCTGTGCTTTGCACTTTGCGCATGTATCGTCAAAATAGCGCCCTAAATGTCTCATGCATTTCTACAAGATTATGTACTGATGTATTTTACCTGACTATATACAAACATGTTCTGTCCATTTTGTTTGATTGTTTTCATGATAATTAAAGGTGCACTCTAAATAAATTCTGGGTATACCTATACTGAAAAAATTATTTCTGCAGAATTGTTGCAAACAATTTATACGGGTTGAATTTAAACAAATAAATTTTAGTACTGTTCAACCTAATTGGTTTGTTTAAATTCAGCCCAAATAAAGCCCAACCACTTAACTTAAAATTGATAAATCTTTGAATAATTTTTATAGGCATATAGTCGGATAATAAGGTTTCATTCAGTGCATGGCAATGGCCATACCATGAACCTCAAACACTATTGTTTTCTTGTTCTCACTTAAATACTGCGAGTGTAAAACCTTGTAAAGAAACCAGGCCAATCAGAACACAACAGACTGTTGCGTGACTCATGGGTAGGTCCACACAGAATCTGTGCGCACAGAAATCCGCAGATTTTAAGCCCATCATTGAGTATATTTACATGGAAACCAATAATTCAATTTTATTGCAATTAAGACAATTAAGTCAACTGTTTACTATTCTTTGCACCTACTTTGACTATTTGAGCACCTCAGAGAAGAACACAGACACCTGTATCATGAAATGTGGAGTTTTTTTTTTCTTCCGTTTAGCATGAACTTCCATTTCAAACTATACTGTTCCAGCAGTTCATAATTGCAGCCAATATCTGGTTTGTCACGGGGGACATGCATGAAATGTTCCTAAGTGAAGGTGCCAAACTGTATATAAGTCGACAAATTAAAAATTATTCACCTGAAATTACATGAAACTCTGGAGGAAATGTGGATAGCGCTGTGACGCAATGACATTAATCAAATTATGTGATATAACATGTTAAATGAGATCATGAAAGGAACATTCAAAAAGCAACTCATTTAAACATCTTAATCTTAATATTGTCTTAATTAGGTTAAGGCAAATAATTTGATTACTTATGTCCATGTAAACCTCACTGAGTCTATTTATTTAGTTGTGTATAAATTTATTTATTCTT